TTGCCACATCCAAATGAGGGTATTTGCTCAGGAGACATCCCACCAGTGGCCCTGTGTCAGCACTGGGAGCTGGCCAAGGGACTTGCTGGGGTCACTCCTGCACAGACTTGGGCTTTGCCTCCAGGCATGCTCACCACTGCACTCTCTGCTGGCTCCAGGCTGTTTATAAACCACTTTTCTTTTGGTGACATTAGTGAAAATATTCTAGAAATTCATTTGATTAGTCAAGAAAACTAAATTAATGAGCCTTTGAGAAGTAAGATGCTCATTTCTCAAGGAAATGTTCTCACCCTAATTCCTCAGCCCAGCTATGTGCATTTCTGTAAGAAATACTGCCTACACTTTCAATGCCACTTAAGGAAAACGTTTGTTTTCCATTAAGAGCCTAGGACAAACTCCACCTTCAGCTCTCCCACCTGGCCCCAGCACTGCCACCAGTGACACATTCATGTGTCCCAGAGCTGCAACTTCAGCCCATCCTGCTCATGCAGGAAATAACGATGAGAGCAGCATTGGTTGTGATTGCTCCAGCACAGCAGAGCCACATGTGATCTGCACGACCCCCATTCCTCCTTAGTGCTCTTCCATAAGGAAAAAGCAAGGCCTGTCCAACCAGTGGAATCAAAGCTATCTTAAGGAGTTAATGAAGAAGGAAAAGCAAGTTCCAGATTAAACAGACACTCTGGTTAGTGCTAGAAACTGAACAACAGAAGCAGGCAAAGGCATGGTTGGACAGAGTCCCACTCCCTTAACATTTTAGAAAGCACAGGATAGATGAAATCTTCAAACCAAAAGATACCAGCAATTAAAGAATGTCTTTATGGGCTAAAAGGCAGCGTCATGGGCCTGGGATGGCACTGTGGCACCGCAGGGCTCCCCTGAGGAGGGGCTCCCTCCCGCTCACACAAGGTTCTGGTTTTTTAAAGTAAAAAAGATGAGCCAGAGGAAGACACTTCCATCCTGCTGCCCCTGGCTCGTTCTTCCTTAAGATTTTTCTTGGTCTATAATTTCATTTCTGAGACGCTTTATCTAGAGAAAAACTGTTACCAAAGGGGCTGGGTTGCAGGTCCTTAAGGCAAACAAGACAAAACTGAAAGCAGGAAGGTGCAGTGAGAGGTGAATCACAGCAGAAGACCCCAGCAGCACCGGGCCGGGCGCTTCTCTCACAGCCAGGGACCCGGCCAAAGCTGCGGCATAGGCAGAGCAGCTGTGTCACAAGAAAAAGGCATCTGCTTATCGCCTGCGCTGCTTTGGAAATCTGGGACGCGCCTGCGGCCCAAATACTTCCTTTGGGATGTTGCAATGAGGCCTGCTGGCCGGGCCGGAATGGCTCCTCCGTGCGGCCCGGCAGCACAGCTCTGCCCCGCAGCCACGGCCGCTCGCCCTCGCTGGTGTCTGAGCGCCCAGACAGCCGCCTGGCTGTACTGCAGGGCTCCAGGATGGCGCTCTGGGGAAACCTGGCCTTGAAACAAAGCGAGTTCTACGCCCGAGTCAGTCCCAGCAGGAAGCAGCCCCGCGGCCGGGCTCGCCCTGCCAACCACCTGGGCCGGTTGTTCCGCCCGCAGCGCGCCGCGGCACTCCCTGGGTGCCGATGGGATCCGGGCACAAACTGCCCTGCCCACAGCTGCGGCCAGCGCGGGCATTGCTCAACCCGCGGAGGCTTTGAGCAACAGCAGCGGGCAGGGGCAGCGCCCAGCGCTGGCGTTCAGCTGACGTGCGCCGAGGGGAAGGGCGAGTGTCACCGCCGTGTCCTCTGAGGTCATGCCGGACGTAGGAGGTGCTGCCGGCTGCCTCAGCACGAGCCACTCCTGAGTGCTGCAGGTGGCCTTTCCTTATCTCCGACATCCCAAACCGCTGGACCAGCTACCGGCTGTCACCTGCCTTTACCCCTGCACCTTCTCGTACCGTAACCACCAGCGACCGGCTCTGGGCCCTGCTGCAGCTGTTTGTCAGGAGCACAGCTGAAGGCAGGAGCTCAGGCACTAATCCCCACCCTTAAACTCTAGCTGGGAACAAACAGCTGGAACACACAGAGGTTCGGAAATCAAATTCTGCCGCTGTACAGATATTTTAACCAAATATTTTTGGTAATGAAAATAAATACATGGGAGTAACATGCTGTTTCCTGCTGCTATGCTTCTAGGAGGAGACAAGCTGCCAGAGAGCCTGAGCAAGACCCAAGTGGGTGACGGGCAGGTGATGGCTCCCATGAAGCTGTTCCTTTCCAGAGGCCACACAACTGCCCAGCCTTGCAGGCCAGCAGGTATTGCTGAGGCAGAAAATGCTGCCCAGCAGTGGTCCTTCCGTGGAAGGAGAATCACAGCACCTCTCCAACACATAAAACCTCATGCCAGCTCTTCCAGCAGGTTCCTGTGGGGACCCCAGCCCATGGGATGCTCCATGTTGGCACTTTCTGTGCCAGCCAGGGCAGGAGCTCTCACTCCTGTTCCTCAGTGCTGAGCTGCCTGTCCTGTAATGTCTGTTCCTTCCCACTGACCACAGCAACGGGAAAATTAACCACTCCTTTGGGAGAACTACCAGCCCCATTGGGCACAGATTATTTATTTACCTTCCAGCTCCTCTGCCAGAGGACTCTCAAAGCAAAGCCACTGCTGCTGGGGAATCAGGTTCTGCTCCAAAAGCTTGGACAGATCCCATAGGATTTGAACTTGTGTTTCTTTGGCAGTCAAAACAGAAAAGTTCTGCTTCCAGTGAAGAAGCATCTCCAGCCAGCACCAGCAACACTTTCTAAAACCCTAAGCACTGGTGTATTTAGATCTGCCTGTAGCAACAGCAAAGAGGATCTTGTACAGGGGGAAGACAAGAAGGCTGCAGCCGTGGTGTGCAAAGCCTGTAACTGCTCCTGTACCACAAAATAAATGAGGGGATGGCTGGAACAGAATGTGCATGCTGCAGCACATAAACAGAGATGTTCCTTGCAGCACAGAGACTCAGAAGTCACGTCTATCTCCAGGCTCTCTGCTTACTTTACCTCCAACTACAAGGCCGCTATTTTTTAACAATAAATGTTTAAGAGAGAAGAAAGCAACAGCAGCTCAGCAAAGAGCTGTTAAGAGCTCTGTGCTTTTGTGCAGCCAACACATCAAGCTGATTCCCACCCCTGGATCCAGAAATTATCCTGTGATTACTCTGCTCTAAGCCACACAGAAAATAATCATATCCTCTTCTGCAGACCCCTGGGAATAATGTGGGAGATGAGATGCCATGGTACTCGGGTGCCTGTGGCTTCCTTCCTGTCTTTGCCTCAGCTAAGTGAATTAGCTTTTGCTTTTTTTTTTTTTTTTTTTCAGGAAAATTGAGGGAATTACAGAAAAGGAGCAACAATACATTAAAAATATTGGCTAGCAAGTGCTATGTCCCAGTCTAGCTGGAAAGTTAAAAAGTGAATCAATTCTGGCCATTAACATCAGCATTTTCTGGATGCTGCAGTGATTACACTGCTGAATTTACTGCTCACATCATAGCTGCCAAACACCCACACAGACACATGACTCCAGCTACTCTTGCCATCCCCGTCAGGAGGACACCTCATGACCATCGACTCTGGTAACACAAAATTCTCTGCCCTGTGTCAGGTGCACTCAGCCCAAGAAGCCCTGCAGGAGGTCTGACGGTGCACATCTCAGTGTTCCATGGCAGAACTCCCAGCTAAAGCCGAGCATCTCCTGCTGCAGACTCTGCTGGAGCTGCCTGCTCAGCACCTTCAGTGCTGCTGTGGGACTGCAGGCTCTGCCTTGCGAATCCATCATGGAACAGTACACCAGCCCAGCAATAAGCCCCTGTGTTGTTAGTATTAAAAAACAAGAAATCCTGTGTTAATTGCTTTTTTGACTCACCCACACGGAGCACTGAGCCACTGCTACAGTGTTACTTGGGATGCCAACAGAGAAGGCAGTCACAGCAATTCATCTCTGTGCACAGGGAAACCTCACGGTGGTGTTACAGGACCAAGTTTAAGCACCCAAGAGTCAGTTGTTGTGGCCTTCATTCCTCTGGAGAGGACAAATTCCATTCTTCCAAACACTCCCATCGCAGGCATCCTTTTACAGGACTTGGCAGGTGCAAGTGGAAATCCTAGAAGGCTCCTGTGCTGTCTGGCTGTGCTGAGTGTGGGACCCGCAGCGTTCCCTGCCCTGCAGCTGGTCACTGCAAGACAGGGCCTGGGGACACTGACCTCAGCTCGTCCCTCAGCCCATCCTGCACCTTGCATGTGGCAAGGGCATCTGGGGCAGGTACGTACCAGGGCAGAAAACCATGTAGCGTTAATCAAAAATAGAAGATGGAGCTGCTTCGAGCAAAGGTTTCTGTCTTCTGCTTGTCCTTTTTCCATTCTTTGGGAACACAGGACCTTATTTAACCCAGATGCTTTAAAGCCTCATTTATACACTCTGCTACACCTTCCTAATTGTTTTTGCTGTTGCATGATTATTACTTCACTTTTCTTGGCAGCACTGCTATCACAATTTGAACTTAGATTTAATACAACCTTACGAAGACTCCTCAATGACCTTCATTCCTGTGCAGCAGCCCAGAGACAGAAGGGATTGTACTCAGGCAGATGGGCACAAATGCAGTGACAAGCACAATGGCAAACACCTGTGTGGCAAACTTCCTTGCAAGTCACTTTAGGAATGAATGTATGAACCAGTGGAAGACAATGGCTTTCTGCTTGTTTGTTCACCTCACACAAAGTCAAGCATTGGTACAGAGCATCAGGACCTCCCTCCCATCTCACTGTTGCCTTCTGGGGGCCAACAACATTCACAGCTGAAAGGACAGCAAGTTCAGTCACAATTTCCTATTAGAAACAATTAATTCCTTACAAATTCCCAAATTAAAATGGCTGCAGCACTGCCAAGTGCCAGAATCAATGCCCCAAAAAGAGGAGCTGAGAGGAGACAGGTGTCAAATGTAAGATGGTTCACTCACCCATGGACTCATAGCACGTGTCAAAAAAGGGACACATAAAGTACCAGAACTAAACTGACATACTGTATTTATTGCACAAATTTCCCCTAAAATTGGGAATGGTTATTATAATACAAGTGCACATCTTGGGAAATATATACAAAACCAGGAGATAACAAGTATGTACATTTTACCCAGCATTTTACAAGTACCACCATCTAAATAATTTAGAGAAAGCAAAAAATTGTCATAAAACATCTCTAAGAACTAATAGGGAAAACATATGCAAGGTGTAAAATCTGTTCTTTTAAACAGTTTCTTGTTCTTAGCAGCCCAGTGTTTGCCAATTGCAACAAAATCAAATTTGCTCATTTGTGTGCCTAGTACAATTAGGTTTCAGCCAGAAAATTAAGACATGTTAATAATGGAGATTGGGAGTAGTGGAAAAAATAAATCAAACATTAGTTTTCTATTCACATAAAAGAACAGTGATATATTTTAAGAAGTCAATTCTATATCCTGTAAAAATCCCTTTTCGTATTTAACAAACAGACATACGTACCACATTGTTCACGTACCCAAAAAGTTAACTCACAGAAAACTTCCCATCACGCAAGGGTTTTGGTTGTGTTCTGCCCACAATACTGCTGAGAGGTGGAGAGGCTGCTGCCGTGCCAGGAGGGACTGGCACTGTGGGAGGATGACGAGGAAGCTGCATCCGTGGCTGCTCCATCTGGGACTGACTGAGCACATCATTAATGCCATTACTGGCTGGTGCTGGGCAGAGACAGCAGGGAAAGTGCCACTCAACAGCCACCTCCTTCTCCTCTCGTGTCAGTAATCACTGCCAGCCATGCAAGGGCCTTTCTGGAGAGTCAAACCCATTTCAAAGTGACCCCAACAATTCGCTCTATGAAGGCTCAAATGAGGACCTGTATTCTCCTGTGAGGATCATTGTGAGCACAGCCTGGGGGATGCCAGGGTGAGGGTGCAGCTGCCCAGCTCCCTGGGCACGTGCTGTGGATGAACTCACCCACAGAACCTCCCAAGGCACAGGCAGGAACCCTCCTCTGCCAGCCCCAGCAGCACAGACACTGCCAGGTCACTGCTGCCGGTCTGTGCACAGCATGGTATCCTAACTACTGCCTGTACCACATATCCTAGCGAAGAGTTAAACATCCATGTTCTGAGTGCAATCCTATATTTCATTAGAAACACATTTACACAACTGGACCCCTGTTTTGTGCTCATTCCAAAAGCCAGATGTAATATAATTGTGTGGCAAGGAAGAGACATTTGAAAAATGGGAGAAACAAATCCTTGGATCACATATTAAACATGAGGTTTTCCCCTGCAGCAGTCAGCATCAGATTTTATATACAAAAGAGGTTCCAATGACACTGCCTGTATGAATGTTGGGGTCACTTCCTGATGTAGACTCAGTCCTACATGGAAGGGAGGGGTGGGTTTTGCCATGTAGATCTCCCTGGAACAGAGTTTTAGGTGACAGATTTTAAGTAGTACTGAAAAACTTCTCCAAATCCTGGCCCCAGAGAAGGAAGGGAGGAGAGTTCTGTCACTGACAGAGGTGGGGCAGGGATCTCTCCTATTGTTTTCAAGTTTATCAAATGGTTAAAATAGATTTGTACTTAAAGTAACTCTGCAAACAACAATAGCAGGCGTGCTGTACTATTGAAAAGATGATTACAGAATGATGTATTTATAGAAATTTTATACAATTTAGAGACCAAGTGAATATGTGTCTCCTACTTGTGTGGATAATTTAATCCATGAATTTCAATATACTAAACCTAACAGATGAAAACAGAAGCTAAAAATCAGCAACATTAATTGGCTGCTAGGACAAATATGGAAAGCAAAGCCTAGAATGAAGTGTCCAGTTAAACTGAGGTAGTAGAGCCTTCGAAAACATAATCCACCTCCCACTGTCTATTTACATTACTTACACCAGGCTGGGTCCATCAGCTACTCGTACAGCTATTGTATATACAATGACAAACCAGTGATGGCTGAGTAAAAGAGAAATGCTGAGAATAAAATAAACAACATTTCCTGCTGGTAATTACACAAGTGAGTAGAAAAGAGATTAGAGTTATCTGCAGCAAGGGTATATTTGTCAAAAAATAATTTGGATATTACTACACTATGGTGTAATCAATGTTCTTTTTTTTTGTAGAATGGTTTTAAAAAATGTATCAATTTGTTACCTGAGCCATTAAGGGTAATAGTCTACTCGTTTTGTCCCCAATGCTTTGGTACAATTATTTCTAGTTCATTATTTCAATAGCTGACTGACTGCTGTATAAAGAATATGATGGTCCAAGATTTTATATATCATACAAAAGTTAGAGGTAATTGTCATGTCATTCTGGGGAACCCATGGGGAAATTTCAGCCAACCGTTCTCTTTAGATTATTTTTGTTGTTAACATTTTGATTACGTTGATGAAGAAAAGCATCATTTAGTATAAAGCAACATTTAAACATTATAAACATTTAATACTGGTTACAGCATCCAGCCAAGAATCTCCATCGCTAGTTTGTCTGTTGGCCTGTTCCTCCGTTCTCCCTGTCACCCTCTGTCCCCCACTATTTCCTCTTCCCAGGAGAAAGATCATAAATAAATTCTGTAGCTGACTGTCATTAATAAGCTTCTTGCAAAAAAAACCACCAGGCCTCTGCCCCGTTCTTCGTCTGGGAACTATTCAGAATTGGACTATGATGTGAAAAAGTAGAAGTTGTTTACAAATCACTGCAGCTTGAGAATTACAGATCCTAACGTGATCCTCATCAGCTGCAGCCTGGCTGAAGGCAGCTGCTCTCTTGTTCAGTTTATAAGGGATGATGGCATCACGTATTTCTCAGAGCAGTTCTTCCTCCATTCCCCAGTATAAGTCACAGTCAGCCATTGCGGCAGAAACTGCTAGAAAAATGCATCTCTTCAGCTTTGCTAAAATCTCCACTTTTCTGTGGTGGAAATCCTGGGCTTACTCAGTTTTCCTTTCTCCTTTCTTTATCCTTTTTTATAAATTGTTAAGTGGGAGAGGAGAAGTCTCCAACTGTTTGCACACCATGCAGTCATATATGGAGGTGCTGCAAGCTCAACAAGCAGTTTGTTTTACTTGCTGCAAAGAGAAAGGAGCCAGAACAAGTTGTCATCCACTTTGTTTCCAGAGAAGCAAAAAGTCAAAGTCTGTGGCCTCTGGCATTTTAAAGTAGGATCTGGGCAACGTACGGAGAGTGAGTGCTCGCTACAGCTGCCAGCAAGGGGAGGTCGCTGGATTCAATCCTGAAAGGAAGCAGAAGAGTCATGTTTAATCCAGCCTGAAATGTCACTGGGCTGAACACGTGTCAGAACCCACACCGCCTGCTCGAGCCCCAGCACTTGCACTTGGGCCACGGGCTACACACTGCAGCTGCCAGACTGCTCCTCCCACCCCTCCAGATGCGCCTGCTCCCACAGTGTCAGCACTGCCTGAGCTCCCACCTGCCTGCTGGGTTTTTAACAGGGCCAACAAACTGGTGAGAAAGCAGATGGGGGAAGGAAAATTCCTGCCTAGCTTCAGAGTAAAGGGAATAATAGTTGGGGGACACAGTACAGGAGCAGAGGACCAGCTAAAGCTGCCATGTCCAGCACCACACATGTTCTGTGTGCCTTCCTGCTCATGCTGCACTCCTCCACAGGAAAACTTACTCAGAGCCTTCCTATAAACACCCCTTAAATAACTCCTCTGCCCATGCCCCACACCCACAGAGAGGTATTATGTGCCTTACATGACACAGAGAGTGTTTCCTGCCATGTAGGGAAAGTCAGCCTGGAGGAATCAGGTGCCCCATGTTGTTCAGTGACGACTGACCAACTAAGAAGGGAGTTTGATAAGCTCCAGAGTGCTGAACCCATCTTCCTGCCCGCAGGGAAGGCAGAAAAGCTGGGGGATCCTTGTGATTGAGCAATGCCTAAGGAGAAGCCTGAAGCCATGGGTAACTTAGGAGTTCCAGTCTCATTTAGGAATCCATTTTGCTGTGCTTAGGAACAAGCCCAGGTGGAGGGTGTGCACCAGGACACCCAGGGTAGCACTGCTGGGAGAAGTTTGTGACCATACCCCAGCACCACGCCCAGCTCCTTGACATGGACTCTCATCTGGCCCTTGAGATACTCAGACAGCATCTTGCTTTTGAAGTAAAGCTCCTGCAGCCGATCTTCCAGGTGCATCACACACTATAAAAAGCAAAAGGAGTTGTGTCAGGGAGAAGACAGAACCAAAGCAGAAAGCACAGATCCCACACCCCTGCTGACTGTTCTGTGGCCATGTCTAGGTGAGATATTCACTGGCAGGACTTTCATTTTTGAGCAGAAGCCTTTGACTACATGTTAAATCAAAATTAATGAGGCAGCTGTTTTGATAAGACTGGCATTTCAATAGGCATCACAAACAGCTGCACCAGAAGATGCACTGGCTATGAATACAAACTCTAGGAAGAGCCTTATGTATCTCTAACCTGTGAAGTTAAAGGATGCTTCAAAACAATCACCCTTGTGATTCCCATTTAGACTTACAAAGTTTGGAGATAAATTATGCTTGTAAAGCTGAAGAGTGGAATGAAGCAGGTTGGAGACGAGACTGGAGACTAACACTTCTTTTCCTAGTTTATTCTCAATCATTCTCCTCTGGCTACTGGCCACTTGCACCGTCCATTTGTCCGTGTCTGCAATAATGCAGACAGCTTCTGCAATGGGCTCGTCCAGAACAGGGTGCTAGGGACAAAAAATGAAGAGCAGAACCCCAAGAATGACAAATGACAGCACTCTTTTCACAAAACTTTTCACAGAAATATCCATCCTGGATATTAGGACAGCATTGCTGGGTAGCAGGATAGCATCCCAGACACTGCTTCACCTAAAATACATCTGCCCACATTGCATTCCATCCATTAAAACCAGTGGGGTTTTGTGAGTAAGGCACAGTCTTAGAAGGATAGTCTTAGAAGGCTATTTTATCTTTTCTTACAGGCTTTAAAGAATGTCACTGGCTGACAGTTACTTTTGGCATTTGATATAAAGAATTCTGACATATCTAAAGTGTATTTTAAACTCCTAAAACTGAAAGCACCAAAAATTCAACTTGTTGTTTAGTGTGGCTGTGTTAACGAGGTCAGATTATTCCCAGCTGTCACAGGTTTTTCTTCACGGGAGGCCAGCAGAGGGAGTTAGGAACCAAGCCTGTGCCTTGCCATCCCCCCCTGCTGGTTTCCACCTCTCCAAAGCCATGAAAAAAGGTTCAAAAAGGGAGTATTTGGAAACCCACTGTCCATCCCTAATAAATTTTCTGGGCTGAACTGTTAGCAATTATCTGCTTCCAAGGAGTCAGCAAGGGCATGCAGAGAAGGGCTGCAGGTCTAATGCACATTGTTGAAGTGAGAAGTAGGGAAAAGGAGACTTTTTGGAAGGTCTCAGGAAAGTGGCTTCTCAGCAGTCTGTTTTCCCTTATTCTCTGAGGAATAAACTAGATGGGAACAGATGTCACACTTTCAGTGACAGCCTGCTTTCTACTTCTTTTCTGGTAAAAGTGGGAGGAAATACCACACTTCCTAGTCATGCCCCAGTTCATCTAGGGAAAAGCAGCTGTGGAGGAGCTCCAACACATCAGAAACACGAGTTCTCTTCAGACCATTATCTTTACATTGCTTTCTCCATCTCCAATGAGGACAGTGCCAATTGGACACATGGACTACCACCCTAAAGAAGGAGCAATGTCTCCAAAATACTGAGCATTTGTGATGGAGAACACATTCTGCTGCACAAGCAGCAGCACATTGGTCAGACGTGCAGGGACAGAGGAGGGAGCAATGAGAGCTTCTGCAGCACTGCAGGAGGACTGTGTGCCCAGGGAGAGAGGCACAACCTCAGCACATGGGCTTGTTTAACATCATTCCATCCTGTGGGACACAACCATCAGCTGCCAAGCCTACAGGACACAGTGATACAGCTTAGCACTGAGATCCATCTTCCCAGGGCACAAGCCTCCCAGCTGGCTTCAGTAGGAGTCTGATCTTTCATGCTCCAGAACTGCAGTGAAATATCCACGTTTTTCAGATACATTAATTGAGAGCAGAGAAAAATTGGTGACCTGGGACTGGAGAAATCTGACAGGAGCTGTGACAGGAAATATTTCCACTTCCAGCAGGTTGTACCTTCACAAACATTTATCTTTCCCTACTGTGAGAAATACATTTACCAAATATAGCTTAATTACCTGCACAGCATGAGACAAATCTGACACCAAACAGTGCCTCAGCTTTTCATCACTTCCTATTCCTTGCAAAACAAAGTCAGGGACGTAAGAGGAACAGTAACCTCCTAGTAAGGATCTTCCAAAATTGGCAATACTGGGCTGGACAGAGTTGACTTCAACTAATTTTGACCTGCAAGAAAGGCATATCAAAGAGGTGTAAAACAGTAAACAGCAAATTCACCTTACATAGGTTGCATTTCTACTTTTTTCATATCTCTTCTATCTTGAAGTCAAGCACTTTTTAAAAAGTTTACAGTCAGCTTTTGCAGTCAGCTTATCATGGAAGCAGAGAATACAAGCCAAGATCACAATACACCATTAGTATTTTTTTCCAGACAACTGATCTCTCAATATTACTCCACAACCAGCAAGCTCAAGAGGCACTTTTCCAACCCCTGATGCCAAGCTAGGCTACAGTCCTCCAAATATGTGACATGAGAAGAGGCTCCATCTTTTTTAGGCTCTGTTAGTGCTGAACAGTACTTACCCAGGGAAGGGAATCTCATATTCCTCTGCCCAGTCTTCTTGCTCTCCTCCATAATAGTTACTGCCCAGTCTAGTTAGATCATGGCCTGTATCCTCACTCTCGCTGTCACCCAGGGCACTGTCTGAACTCTCATTTCTTGGAATGTCCCAGTCAATTCCCGGAGCCACTTTTTTCTCTACATTTTCCCTGTCCCCATGGGGGACACGAATAGAGATTTTCTCTCTTTGGTCCTGCTCATTAAAGCAGTTTTTGTACGTCTCTTGTCGAACAGAGTCCATAAATTTACAAAATTCACTAGGTGGTTTGCAAGCCTTTGTACACAGCTTTTTAGAAAATTCTAAACTACTGTTGTGAGCAAGAAGGTTCGCAGCTGCTTGCCCTGGAATATCGTCAGTAGTCTGGGTTTCAACTGAACTGTCATCAGTGAAATATTCATCAAACAGACTCATGCTCTCAGCACTGTATGGGTTTGAGTTCCAGCTCTGATGCTCACTAGCAACTTGAGGAAAGGGTTCAGCTGTCCCACAGTCTCTATTTTGGTCCTCAACAGTTTGTTTAGCTTCACAGTTCTGATCAGCAGACACTCCTGCCTCCGCTGCTGGCGGGCTGTGATGCCTGGCAATTTGTTCCACTACTGCCTGACTTCTCAGTTCGATGTCTGAGTCAGGTGACATGGAATCTCCGATGAGGAAAGTCACCTTTGTCTGAGCCTCGGCAGCGCCGCGTGGAAACGCGTCCATGAAGAGCTTATCGGGCGGCTTCTTCTCCACGGCAATGCCGGGGCTCCTTGTGCCCCCTCCCGCCTGGCTGCCCGCCTCCAGCGCATCCTCACTCCTCCACGCGCTGCCTGCTGGCTCCAAACAAGATTCTGTCCCCACACATTTCTCGGGTGAAGCTGACCCTGTGCACACCACAGTCTCCAGTTTGGTATCCAGGCAGGGCCTTGGTTGTGTCACATCCACGGCATCTTCCTGGCCATCCTCAGGAACGATGGTTCTGTTCTCGTCTGAAGAAGATTCCAGCTCTACCTTAGGAGTGCTTTGCATGTCTTCTCTCTCTTGCTGTGCAACACCTTCTATGTTCTGTGCGAGGGAAATGGGACACTTGCAGTATTTACAGCTGCAGTTGGGAGCTCTCATCTCTTCAGACTCGGTGGGGAGCAAGTTGCCCCTGTTCTTGTGCATCGTGACAAGCACATACTCAGACTCTTCCACTTCTCCTTTCTCCAGCGTGGTGGTGATAACAGTGCCAGGCATGACGATGGCCTCATCCTCCCCATTTTCCAGAAGGTGTGTCTCTTGAAGTTCAGAGCATCTGATGAAATAAGTGAGGAAATAAAGCAACCTCTGGACCAGGTCATGTCTTTTGCCAACCACGACTGTTTTCGCTAATCTCACAGGTGATCCAATGGCCCCATACAGGTCACCTAGGACAGGAAATTAAACACACAATTACTTGGCATCTTTGCAATAATTTATTCTTCTAACAGCCAGCTGTTGGGCCAGTTTTCAAAGACCAGGTCTACAAGAGAGAAATACTAAAGCAGTAGAGTTAAAACAGCTATGCTGTACTTTGTTTTCAGTAAGAGAATCCCAAAGATGCTGTTGGTATGATCTGTAAGGTGAGCCACTGGTCAGGGGGACATGTGACTTCACACATCAGGGAGCATTCACACCACCCCACTACAGCTTTGGAGGCTCATCTCCTGGGATCCTTATACAGCCATGGCAGAGAGGAGGCATCTGTGCCAAATTACCCTGGAAAGTCTGGAAAGTGGGCTGGACTTTTACCCACAAAAGAAAGCTGCAAAAGAAACAAACCCATGCCAGGAATGAGGACAAAAAGTGACCATGGCAGGTGCATGGCTGAAGCCAACCTCCTTCTCTTCCCTTCCCAGAGTTCTGCTATGGGTTGGATGGGGTGTTCTGGCTGTACTCGAGTCACCTGGGCAAGTGCCTGTGTGTTCTGGAGGTATTAGGGCTGAGGGGACAAGGAGTCCTCTTGAAGGCCACCCTAAGCCACATGAGGCCTGAAATCAAGTTTTCTTGCTAACACCCTGGCCATTCCTACCTGTACAATAATAGCACCACCTCACAAAACCTTCCTTACCTTCCCTAATCAAATTCCATGATTGAGTTTGTGTGCAGAGCAGGACGATCTGACCTCCCCTGCTCTTCTCTGCAGGGCAGTTATCAGACAGTATGACCAGCTACCCACTGACTGGGCTCTGAGACCTTCCCTGGCGGTTGCCAAGCTGTGACTTCCTGTTCTGCTTCACTCCGTTGTATTAAAAGTATGTTCACTTCTGATCAAAATATGAATTTTCTTGATTTTCTCATTCCAGAATGAGGTTTAGTGATAGTGGCATCCCACAACATAAAAGCAGATTTTCCTTACAGGAGGAGGAGGACCAGAGGAGGCTTGGAATCCTCCACCAGCACCAGAGCAGGGGACCTTAAGGGACCCAACAGAGAGGACTAAAGAGGACTTCACTTTTTGGCTAACATTTTTTAATGGATAATGCCTTAAAAACTTAAAACATAAAAAATCACAGTGACCACCTCTAAGCTTGAAACACACTTTTGTCTCATTTTGTATTGAAAATAAATAACCTGGGAGGGGAGTAAGCAGCATCTTAAACCTCACCTCACGCACTCCCATTTCTGTAAAGCTGCTGGGGGTTTAGGGGTATTTGCCACGTACCGAGCTGAGCCCACAGTGGGTTGTAGGGATGAGTTTTGGCCAGCATGTCCACACTCTGGGAAGAATGCTTCTCCAGGAAGATTCTTATTGGTGGCTGGCCATTGGGCATGACAGTGGGGACCCAGGCCAGGTGGTTAGTCAGCACTGCAGTCAGCAAAGCTGGTAAAAACCTGAAAGCAAAATGTTCAACATATTCGGGGTTTTTTCCAGATATACACTCAAGATGTTAAACTGACAGCAGCTCCAGTCTATATGGATCAAGGATTAAAGAAACAGCCTGACAAAATCAGCAGAGATCATCTCTTCAGCCTTGGTTCCTTGGGGAGAGAAAGGGTGGCTGGACCCTCCCTCCCACCCTGGCAAAGCTCTTTTCTAGAACACACGTTTAAAATAAAATGAAATATTCTAACTTTGTTATAAGACTTCCTATTTTGCAAGTTTGGTGTTGTAAAACATCTCAAAACACATTTAATTCACTCACTGCAAGAAAGCAGTGGCACTGTGTGGCCCCTGTACTCCAAAGAGATCCCAAACCCCTATGACTTGTGACTTTGGATGAGAAGGAAGACTATTGCTACCAAACCTGTAAAACAGCTGGATGCTGTGTTCTTTCACCTAACTATTGTGCAATTTCAGCCCATATGGCTGCTCCTTTTCAAAAATAACCCCCCCAAAGTTCTGTAGCTCAGCCAGCAAAGCTGTGTTCTTATGCTGGCAAAACAGTTTTCACTGGCTAAGCAATTAAGGTGAAAAAAACTTCCTGAAAAACATGAACTATCTGATTTACTGCAATGATAGAGCATGGTTTCTGCTCTGTGGAGTTTTCCCAGTTGGTTTTCCTGGCAGGAGCTTGGCCCAGCAGGCTCCACACACGGCGCTGTTGGTCACAGTGGCTCACGTGTGGGGAGGAAAAGAGCTAAATGTCTCAAAATAGTGTTATTAGAATAATTTACAAGCATCAGGAACCCTACAGCTTCCATGCAACCACACTAGAGACAGCCAAAGGAGGAGAGGAAATTTAAAACTAGATTGGCAAGGATAAAGGGCCTAATTTTTCTCATCACTTAAAATATTATATTTAAAATAAAGAAAACAAACCCAGATAAATGACTTCTTAAATGTAACCAACATGCACAGGACTCAGAATGGCAGGGATCAAAGGAGACAATCCCAGCAAAGACCCTCCACTGAAGCAGGAACTGATCTTCAGAAAATGCATTTGCACCCCTCAAATTCCCTGTGGTTTCTCCCATTGCACTGGGGCAGGAGCAGGCAGACCACAGTGAGCACTGTCACAGTGGCCACTGTCACCTTCCCCTCAGGGGAGAGAAGAGATGCCAAAGGTGGTGGCAGAGCTGGAGGATGGGAGCAGCAGCCCCTTCCCACCCTGCAGGGAGCAGTGCCCCTGACCAAACACCTGATCTGCTAGTGCCATTCCCACACAAACTACACTTGTGCTCTTTTTAGGACTTTAATGGAGATAAACCCTTTAAAAACTTCCCCTGCTCATGCCCTGGGAAAAGGGGACAAAGTACTGACAAAAGAGTAAATTTATCAGATTCTCCCAGTCTATCAGAAACTTTCTTTCTCAGTTTTCAGCATCTGCTCACAGCTGGGGCCTGAGGCCAGAGAGGTGAGTGAGCACTAAAGAGCACAGCAGTTCTTTAGTGGCATTTTAAAATTGTATTTAAGGTTTGTGGTCTGACAGTATTACAGACACAGCTCTTCCTGAATGCATAATCCTGCTCATCATATGATAACTGATTCTGCAAGATAAGTTAATGCATTTTGTAAGGTACCTTCACCCCCTTCCAGACATCCACACACATCACATACTTCCTATGAACATGTTTCAGATGTTCAGCCTCTACCAAGATTTAGAGGATTGTGGGGAAGCAAAAATTTAATGAGATAATTTCTAATTTGTTTCAAAAATAAGGTATTTATGGATGGCCTTTTGATTCTCTGATTACCAGGAATTAAGCAACTGATTTAAAAATTGGTTTGAAATAAAAAAGGACAATCACAGAAGTAATTTAGAAACTGAAATCCACCATACTGATTTTTAGAAGCATTTTCCATCAAGAAAGTGAACTCCTTCATGAAGCGGTGGCACAGCTGGTTCTTCTCTGGTGTCCCTGACATCATGGTGAGCCAGACAGGCTCCCCAATCCGTGGCATCGTGTAGAGATTGCAAATAGTTGTTCTAGAAAACAAAACCAAAAAATCCGGGAGGTTAAAGAAAAAACAAACAAACAAACAAACAAAAAACCCCAAACAAAAAACCCAACAGCCCCCAAAAAACCAAACTGAACAAAAAAACCCAAACAATAACAACAAAAAGTAGAAATCCCAGCTTGAAAGAATTCTGTGCAACATTTAGATCCAGCTATCATTTCTATCAGAAACAAAATTTCTCTCAGCAATCATTATCCAGACCATGCTGTTCATTAAATAGTACAAATTCACCTTTACCTCAGAGAGCTGAACCTCACAGGCTCCTCCTGCACCCACCTGACCTAATCCCAAACACAGCAACATTCCCTGGCACAAGTCAAGAGCTGCTCTGCTCTGAATGAAGGAATGGATCATTTCTTCTTATCTCCCTGCTTGTTCTTCATTTCATTTAAAACAAACTTCTGCTTTATTTATGACTAGGACAAGGTTGTATGTATCTGACTTATAACAATACCTTAACTTCCTCCTTGCTTTAAAAACTTGGTGTATATCCAGGCCAAGCCTATGAAGTGTGGGTGTGTAGAGCAGGGAACCAGTTCACATCTTCAGCTTTAAATAGAGAGTATGACAGTAAAGTCACCCTGTGGCTGTACCTATTACACACTCACCACATCCTTTTTGACTCTACAGAGGACAGCAAATGTATGCTTAAAAATTTGCTCTGCAGTAAAATACCAGATTAAAATCCCTCAGTTTACTGTTAAACTCTCTAAAATATAAACAAGTTATAGTTTAAAGTACAAAGCCTACATTATGACACTATGGGAAGCTGGATTTTTAACACAGTAGAAAAAATCCAAAAGGACATGGGAAATGACTGATCAATTCAGGTTTCACCCTGCCTAATGCACTACTTTTTCTAGGCAAAGTATTTTTGTTTTAAAAGGCAAAGATATACATTACCTTATTATCCCTAGCACCACCCCTGATTTATAAAGCTCTTATATCTTCTTTTCTATAGATATAAAAACCTCTGAACTTCTATTGTATCTTATATAGCTTCTCTGGATATCATAGTCTCAGAATTTACATTCACTCTCAGGAGCAGAGCTGTGCACAGCAGGCAGGCAAACACACTGGAGCAGCAGCTGCCAAATCTTCCATGGTTTAGTGTTTAAAGTGGAATTCCCAGGAAGTGAGAGCTGCACGTCAGCAGCAGCACAGCACATCCCTCCCTGCTGCAGGGGCTCCCCGGGGACGAGGGAGGCACCCCCAGTTACTGGGCACAGAAGCAGCTGGTGGTGACCCAGAGCTGCTCCCCAAAGGGCAGCAAAGGTGACTGAGGTCACCAAGGCTGCTCCAGAAGGAAGAAGGTGAGGGGGCAGTGGCTTTCTCTGCCTTGCTTTTCCTACTAATTTTCATCAAATACAAAATCCATCCTCTGTGCTCACAACAGCGAAAATCAACTCTGTCTTCTTCAAAGGTTAGACCTCCAAATCCTCCCCTGCCAGAAGCATGATGAGAGCACCACGAAAGAGTCAGTGTGCTGGAGAGGGGGAAGCTGAGTTACCTCTGCACTGCCCAGCCCCCCAGAGGCTCTGCTGTCTGCTGGGTCACTTTGGAGCAGCCTCACCAGCTGCTCCATGTTACCCTCTGCTGCTGGTCCTGCCCTGGGAGGAAAGCCCAGGCTGGTGACAGAGTGACAGACCTGAGCACAAGTCCTGCTGCCGAGACAGGAGCGGGGCACACAGCCAGGGACACCAGCACTGCCTCTGGGGCACCAGAGGGTCTCCAGCAGCACAAGCAGTCTTGGGGTACCGGGAGTTCATTCCTCTGCAGGGGTAACCTGGGGCTGGGGGGCTTTTATTAGGGGAAAGCTTTCTGTTCACAGCCCGTTAACTGGAGCAGATGTTAAAGATGCCAAAAAAAAAAAGAAGAAACCGCAAGTCCAGGGATCTCAAACTCAAGCAGTTTCAAAGCTCAAAACAAGTATGAACGCTTACACCCCCCAGACACAGCTGACCTGGGAATCTGAAGATAAACAGCACAACTTAACGTAAAATACAGCTTATTTCTCCATCCTATGCAAACTAACCCAAGCCAAGCCTCTTGCACCTCGGCTGTTTTGAAAAAAGAAACTACTTCTATACTGAAACCAACATATTAAAATACTTGTTTTCGTTGAAAAGATAGCCCGAGTCTTGTGACTCGTTATTTACTATTCTGGTAACCCTGGCTGCATCTGCAGCTGATAGTGTTTCCTCCGAGCCAGATCAGATTGCCTGGCCCGAGGCCAGCAGGCATGTGACTGCAGCACAGGGAACCCTCCACGCCAGGAAGGCAGCAATGGCACTGAGACCAAGGGCAAGGATTAACTGCTTCCCAGCTCTTCCAACAGCCAGGGAAGCTCTCCTGCCAGATAGCAAAGGGCAAAAACGAAAACAAAACAAAACTAAAAAAAATGACACAAAGAAACCCTCCTCAAACACTACAGGGAAGTTAACTGGATTTTAAAAATAACAATCATTAAAAACCCACTTGGCCCCTCTCCTCTTGGCCATCTGCAGCAGCACCCCCTCCCCTCCCTCCCCACACACACACCAGCATGTGAGGGAAAGCTCAGCTAATGAGAGACTCTGCTCTTTTGAGGGTTCTGGTACATTTAAATTGGTTTATATTTGGAAACGCCTCTGGGAGGTTGAACTCCAGCCTGGAGCTCCCAGGCACCTTGGCCCCAGCAATGCAGCGTGGAGCACAGGGAGCAGAGGAGCCCCTCAGGAAACACCTTCACATCTCACAGGGTCTGAGAGCCATGAAGCCCAGCCTGGCCAAGCAACTAGGGAGCCCTGAGCCAAGGCCAGCCCAATTCCTCTGGGGTCTGCCTGCCCTGTGGGCACAGGTGGCACCAAGGTGAGCAGCCCTGCTCCAACAGACACCACAGCACAGCTGCTCCCTGCTTCACCCTCACCCACATACACCCCCAACCACCCTCGATTTAAGGACCAATTTTCAGCACCAATCCGAGACATCTTTTCCTGGTGCTGTACAAATCAAACAAGCCACATAGCTCCTCATGGATGAAAGCATCCTGCTGCAGCCCCTTCCTCCCCAAGGAAAACACAGTGACCCTCAGCACTGTGCCCCCAAAGCAGCTCTGCTATTTAGGAGCCACACCATAATGGCAAAGAAAGAAAATTATCAGTGGTTTACAAAGCTTAATTCACATACATTTGTTTCCTATCCTCATTCCTTCCTTCCAAAGACGATTCTTCCTTTTAAAGGAAGAGCAAAACAAAGGCAATCCCCACTGCAGGGAATGCAGGAGCGGGGCTCCCCCAGAACTCAGCGCCCGTGCTGGCACCACTGAGCACAACGCTCAGTTCACAGCAGCATAAGCTGCTTAAAAATTACTGGCAGAAAATGGGATCAAATCTGTCTGCCAGAGAGCAGAGAGGTGTTTCCCCAGGCCCTGCAATCAGGGTTTCCTTGCCAGCCAGCATTTGTGCCACACAGGTATTAGTCACATGCATAATCTGTGTTATCAATGTGCTGCGTTGGCCCCAGGGACCGGGGGAGCCAAAATGTTTATGCAAGTACAGTAGCTTATTTCGTAAGTCATGTGTCTGCACAGCTGACATCCACAGAGAGTTCTAAGCCTCTAAGTCAAGTGTTAATAGCTACACCCATCAGTGCTTCAGAAAATTAAAAATTGCTGTAAAGTGACTAATGATGCAAAGGTAGGCCTGGAGCTGGGTACCAAACTGATGGCAAATTTATCAACAGTCTCGATTTGCAGAAGCAGCTTGGGCCTTCGAGAGAAGGCAGTTTTGTTTTCCAGCTTGGACCCAGCTCCCTTTTTGCAGGCAGAGGAGTGACCTACAGCCACAGCCCCTTCCCTGCAGAGGGGACTCTGGGCTGCCATGCTACCTTCCCTGATCAGCAGGGCAGCACATCTCCCATGCCCACTGATCTGAGGTTATTCTGATCACCAGAAAAGTGCACATCAGCTACTCTTAAGCATCTCTGAAAATCTGGGGGGGTTTAAAAAAAAAAAACAAAGGAAAAAACAAAGAAAATTCTCCTTAAAACAACTAGACTGCAATGAGTTAAACCAGCAACAGGATTACATTTTAGAATCACCAGCCCACTGAAGTCAGTACCCTTCTTCCCTCCAGCACAATTTGCTAAGAGGACAGGAATCAACACAAGTCTCAGGTTCACCAAAGGACTTGTCTCCTGACTTCCCCGTGACTTCAGTGGGAAAGCAGACACCTAAAGAGATAATAGTGTCCTAAATGGGTTTGCTGAACCTGTGCCAAAGCATCTTTGCATCCAGCCTTTGGTATTTAAATATACCTCTCTCTTCTTACCAGACTCATCCTGCATTGCTTTGAAAAGCAAGGGGGTCTTGCATGTCACAGAAATGAGGATGACATGCATGTCACAGGGGCACAAGGACCCTGCCTAGACTGGGGGCACCAGCTGCTGCCCACCTCTGAATGCAACCCTTTAAAAAACCCCAGCAAAACCCAAAAATTGCCAAAGGCTGCTGCCCCAGGAAATTAATTTCCATGAAATTAAACTGGATTTAATTAACTTCATTACACTATTAAAGAGCAATATTTATATCACCATGGAAACCTCTGCATAGAACTGGTGGTTACATGCTCCCAGTGCTGGTTATGCAATGGCCATGTCACGGGAATGATCCCAGCTCCTGGCATGCAGTGAGTCCAACCTGCCTGTGTCTGCTGGGCAGTGCTTTCTTCCTCAGCCTGACCACAGCAGCTTCCTCACCCCATCCCAGCTCAGCACTGCTGAGTGTCCCCCCAAAGGAAAAGCCAGCACAGGGGATTTGGCCTGTGTTTTCAGGGCTTTTTTCCTGCTTTTGACTTGGGATAGGTGCCCCTCCCCAGCCCTCTGGAACTGTTTAACTTGGAAGGACAAAGGAGAACGGGCAAAGTCCGCTGAGTATATCTTGAGGGGGAATGTTTTGGGGGGAAGGTTTGGAAAACAGCTGGGGAGCTGGTGTTAACAGAGGGTGGGAAGGCACAGAAAAGGCTCAGGGAGAGACCTGGGAGGAGAGACAGGGCAGAGCTGTGGGAGTGGAGGAATCATTGTGGCTGCTCCGAGTTGCTGAACTTGTCTCAGGCCCCTGGGCTGGATCAGCGGCTCCCAGCAGTCATGAGCTCCCTCTGCTCCCTCTCTTGGCACAGCTTAGCCATCCACCTCTCACCACAGGCCCACGTGCTCCCTCTCTTCTGCCTTCTGTCCCTACAGGACATATCCTCTGCCCTTCCTTGTGACTGCCTGCAGGTGAGCTTCTAAAAAAATTTAAAATACACTGTGCCTTCACCCTGCAGCACCACCTAATCCATGGCATTCAGGTAAGAAGTGGAATTGTGGAAAAGTAAGTGAGCCCTCAGGATCCTTCTCTGTTCAGTAACATACATCCTGATGTCAGAAATTTCTTTTTATAACATCAGAGACCTGTCTTCAATAATGTCTCTAAAAAGTAGCTCTAAAAAGTAGTGGCTGTAAAAGGAAGCACCCTGCCACTCCCATCTGAGAGGAGATGAATCACTCCAAACAGAAGGATTTCATCTTAACTCCCTCCCCATGACTTCAACTACAGAAAGAAAATACAGCTAAATGCCAGGGATGTGCTTATCTGTGTTACTTTGTATAATACCTGTTGAACAGAGAATCTCTGCAGGTACCAACAGCCAAAGATTATAGCACTGCATTTGACTGGGGTATAGACAGCTCTCCCTCTTTCTAGCTGTTTTTCTGAAACACCTTTGGAGCACAGCTTAGAGAGAGGTGAGCTTTGCTCACACATCAGGACAATACACACTAGAGGAGGATTTCCTTAACAGGGCTTTGCAAGGCTTTCCCCCCCTCTCAACAGGCCACAAAAGACCATTTAAGAGGTCACTGGGAGCTTCCTTATCACCCTAAAACATAGGAAACTTTGAACATCTGGGTCCTGTTCACACAGGACTGATGGACACACACACTTGGAAAAATCCAAAACCTCAGACACATTAGGATGCCTTGGTATCACCAGTCCTTTGCTGTACTAACTTTTGCAGATGACTTTAGACATTTTAAGTTACTTATCCCGCACTACGAAGATCCTTCTAAAACAGCTCAAGTGCTTTTGAAGAAAGAAACAGAAAAGACAGGAGACATATGGCTGACCTGAACTCATTTAGGGCATCCACAATTCTGTTATATGCCAAACTCCGCTGGCTGGCATCAGCTGATCTCCGACTCATTTTCATGGCCTTGAAAACAATCATTAAACAGATAAGTAACACAGAGCTACAGAAGCACAGAAAATGGAAAACCAAGTCATGTGTTTGACTTTATCTTTTGTTCAGCTGGTCATGCAAATAATTTTTTTAAGTGATAAAGTGACGATCCAAGTGCCAACTTTCCCATCTGAGGGAAGACAGGTGAGGCACATTTGCAGCTTCTGCCTCTTTTGTGCTTTTCACCATTCCAAGCATAAAAGGGGTCAAAGTTTTAACTGCAGTGATGCAATTCCCACACCCAACATCAAGTTGATCCCACTTTTGTAACTAGCAACAGGAGTTAGAAATTAATCTGACAGGGCTGGGAGAACATACACAAGTGCAAGAAGCCAAAGCAACTATGTTTACCTGTTCTATTGCACTCTTCAGTTTGTTCATGTGACTCTCAAAAAGAGGGAAGTGTGAAAAAAAGAACTCGTTAAATTTGTTGTTTTCATCTTCATCTCTTGAGAGTGAAAAAATAACCCCAATTGCTATTTTTTTCTTCCTAACAATTCCTGGGTTTGGACCAGAGCTGTCATCTGACAAGTTGAAGCTTTCATCCATGGACCTTTGGAGCAGGAACAAAAGGGAAAGTTAATGTAATCCACTGCTTAAAGTTGTACCTTGGTTTCCTGTGTGATTCAGTTCTTGAACATTTAACTTCAACAAACGCCTTTTGCTTGAATGTGTTGTCAAATCATCATCTTTGATAACAACCCCTTTGTGATTTTTTACAAACATCTATTAATTGATTCCGCAATCACAAAACTCTGGAACCAGATACAAAGTGTTTATAGGATCAGAATATGGTATTCTAGTTCTCTCCCATTCCTGCCAAGAATTTGTGTTTTGAGTATGACTTTAGGGCTTCTCATCCTCAAAACTATAGCCTACAGATTTACACGTCGCTGAAGGCTTTCCAGTTAGTGAAAAAACAATGAACGCCACGAGGAACACAGAGACTAAGAAAGATCAGCCTGACTTCCACCTCTGTAAATACCCCGGTGAGAGCATCGGCAAGAGCAGATGTACACATGCAAGAGCAGAAGCAGGCTGACAGTGGTGTATGGGCAGCAGGCAGCACTTCCACCCCCAGCTCACCATCGAGGGAAGACGCCGTTCTCCAGGCTGGTGGTCTGGCTGCGGCGCCAGCGCCGCTGGTAGCTGCTGGCACAGCTCTTGTTGAACGAGGAGCCCGGGGATGGAAACGGAGTGATGAGCAGACTGCTAAGAGATGCTGCAAGAACAAGAGGAATAAAAACCTCTCCAGAAAAAAAGAGCATTTGGAATACAACACCAGCAACTAAACCAAGTATCTCAAGATATACTGGTGTTGCTTCTCAAGTGCCTTGTCTTTTGCTTATCTAGGTTTCTAATATAAAAATAACCAGTTTATAATGACATTAACAAGCCATACAAGCATGACAAGGGTGGGACAGTCCTGCTGATTTACATAATAGATAATGCACAGAATGCACCTTGCTCAGCAACCTGAGTATCAGGAAATAAATTCCTCGTGGAAAGGAGTAATGTTGATCACATCCTTTAACAGCCTTTACAATCCTAGCCCAAGTGTCCAACATCCTGAATTTGGAGGGAGGAAAGGGGTGCTGTTGAGGCCAATTCATGTTTTAACATTACCATCATAGGAACACAGAATCACAGAATGATTTGGGTTGGAAGGGATCTGAAAGCTCGTCTGATTCCATCCCCTGCCATGGGCAGGGACACCTTTCACCAGACCAGGTTGCTCCAAGCCCCATCCAACCTGGCCTCCTGGATTTGGAAAGGAGCTGACGGCAATTACTGTTTAGAAATGCTGCAAGTTCATTTTAATATTTAATCTGCCTTGCTTATTTGCAGCTTGTTTAAAAAAAGACACTGCTGTCAGGTTACTGTGAGGTGCCCAACACACACCCTCAACACCTTGCACCATCTGGACCTGTACAGAGAGGTGTCATTAATGTCACAGAGCAAACCAGAACAATCCCATTTCAGCACTACTCCATGATGTGCAGAGATCCCATGACAAATGAATATTTTTGGAGTTTACAGGGTTAACACATGGAACTGCCATTACCAGATCTTGCTATTCCGCTGTCTCTGTCCTCATTCTGCTCCCTCCCAGGCATATCCATAGGGTTGCTGTGAACTGTAAAACAAGGAATACCAATTAGCAGGAGAATGTACAGTTCTTTTCTTGTTTGCAGATCTCCATGTAATTAATGAAACAAAAACATGCTCATTAATTCAGATCAACAGCACTGCACAAGGCCATCACCAAGAAAGGCTGCTTAGCTGAACAAACCAAAACACTTACCTGAGAAGCCTTTATGTGTTTTTCTCAAGTCCATACACCTATTTTAGAGCAAACTAAAACGAGTACTTTGTTTCTTTCCACAGATAATTTTCAATAAAATTTGATTGTACCAAGAGGATGCTGGTCACATTTGTACACTCAGTGTATAGGCAAAAACCCACCAAAACTCAAAATAAACGCAACTTCATTCCTACACCAGCTTTCTCAGGTATTATATGTGTATTTTTAAAGGAATTGATACTTTTAAGTTGTGAGCAGTGTATTGGTTGTTCAACTAAGCTGTAAGCTGTCCAGATTCACAGTCTGCGTATAGACAAGATCAAAGGTCTTGACAAGGCTCAACAGTCTTTAAATGTGATATATTTTACAAATATGTGTGTGAAATAAAGCTACTCAGCCATGGAAATAAGATCCACTAAAGGAAAGAAATGTCCATTTTGAATTAATCTAATTTAGCTCTAATTTTTACAATTTGGTTGAAACCAATCCAGATCAAAATAGCTTGACATCATTGTGAAATATTATCCCCATAAATATTAATTCCATATTTAAATATTTAAGTTTCCAAAACAAAACAACACAGACAATCCCAAAGAGGACAATTAAATGCCTGCTGTCCTCTGGGGTTTTAAGGAATGTGTCCAAAAAGGTAAGGGAGCAAACACCACTGTCCATTTTCTTTTTTTTTCTTTTTTTTTTTTTTAATAAATATGAGATCTTATTTGCAGGGCTAAACTACAAATCCACACAGTTTGTCACCCCAGCTAGACTAGCCCCACAGCACACAGCACACAGCAAACCTGCAAAGAAAGAGGCGCTCCGGATGAGGCGGAGCGGACCTTGCTCTGAGAATGCCCGCCTGGGGCTGCAAAGCTGGGAAAGACCTACATGGCAAAACGTAAAATACACATCAGAGAATGAGGTTAGTAAAGCAGAACAGTCCATAGGGAGGGGGCCAGGGCAGGGAAAGGTTTGAGCCAACATAAATGCAGAGTAACACAGGCAGGAGAACAGCTCTGAGGCTTTACCAGAACGCTGATGTGAGGATGAGTCTCACAGCTGGGCTATACAGTATTTATAGATTAAAATAATAGACCCAGCTTTCTACTATCTCCCATACAAGGATGGGAGGATCTCAAAGGGGCTTTTTTTTTTTTTAAATTTTAAGGTTGAAAAATGATTAATTTATGCAGGCTCAAAGCCTAATTTGACCACAAACAGGAGATTCATCACAGAGTATAATGTTTGTTTTAACATCCACACTGGTGGGGTGCCTGGGAACACTGCTTCTGAAGAGAAGGAGGAAGGGGGAGAAAGAAGGCAGGAATTCATCTTAGTAGAAACAACAGAAAATTATAGGCTGAAGTAGTTCTGAGAATAGTCAGTACATAAGTTGAGTGAAATGATCCCATAGAAAATAAATGTTAGCAGTCTCAGTAGTTCATTTAAAAAGTAATACTGGATTATACATATACCAGGGAAACAGTGTATTTACTGTACACAGAGCCACAAAAAACACAATTATTTTTAAAGAGTTAATTGCCAGTCCCTCTCCTGTATTTGAACCCAGTGCTCACTCAAAGTTTTCTGATTATATAAAACACAAAGGTTGCACCTCAAAGCTCCCTTCCATTCTCTTAGGCCTCCAGTCATTAAAGGGAACACATGACCAGGGCTGCTTTGTTTTTTTTTTAACCAGCACATCTGAAAAAAAGCACCTTGTAAATAGTTCCCAGCCAAAACACATAGACCCTCCTCCTGTCACAGGTGAGGCAGGAGCAGTCTGTGCTGCTGAGCACCGTTGTTAGAAATGCTGCAGTTACAGATTAACTCCTCTCCCTGCTTTACCTAGGGTTCCCTCTGTGCTCAAATGGGAACTGTAAACAAAACACTTGTTGAAAACTTGTGCAGCTCAATCACAAAGAAAACTTCAGGATCCTCTTCTTGCTGGCAACCTTGTGCCTCTTGCCACACACCCTTGCCCAGAGGTGCCCATACCTCCTGCTCGGTTCTTGGGACAGTCACCTCACAGCTGGACACAGGTGAACAGCTGGCACTGGCTACACCTGAATCACTCCATGCCTAAGAGCTGCATTATCTGAACTGGAACTTGCAGTTTAGATCACTCTAATGCTACAGCAAATTTCTGCCAGGCACAAGCCACAGCAAACCCTAACAGTAAATGAAGGTGATCTCCTGTCTCTTAAATCAGGCACCACATTCACTGCAAAAATCACAACTGAAGCCTGAAAGGACTGTGGGAAATTAATTTGTAGGTTGTAAGGTTCTTACAATCTTAACTGGTTTCCCTTACAAATGGACTACTGCAAATTATTTTAATGACGTACACAGCTCATGAGCTTGAAAAGCATTTAAGCCCATGCTTGGGCACAGTCTTAGCAAAGTCAATGTGAAGGAAAGCAGTAAACATCTCTAAGATCAAGAACCATAGCAGAGTCAGAAACCCATTTAAGAGTATCACAGTCATCAAATATACTCCTTACTTCCAATCCTATAAAAGCATATTTTACATACAGCAATATCCTGCAAAGCAATTGTGAAATTAAGCCCCTTATTCCACCTACAACAGACATTTCCTTGGAAAATCAACAATCAAAATGAACAGAAAGAGGGGAGAGAGCCATGGAACAGGCTGCTACACTGGACAACCAAGCACTGAAGTCCAGTCCTATCAGCTCAACTGCTCCCAAGAGGAAAAGCCAAGACCTTTGTTATCTAATGTTCACAGAGCCTCCACCCACAGCTCTTCCAGGGAAGCCAAGTACTGAGGACACCAGATGGTTTCTCAAGACTGCTTAGCTGCCATGGTCAGCCAGAGGAGAGAACACAAAGATATTCTGTCTAATCTGATCCAAAGCTGCAGCGCAGCTGGGCAAGGTTAACTGAGACTCGGACAGGACACGCGGCTACAGCGCTCAGGTGGGCAGAGTACAGAGCAGAACGAGAATTATTAACGAAAATACAACCAGGGAACTGAGCCAGGCAGAGTCACTCCTGCCTGATCAGAGATATGCTCTTCAGGAATTTCTAAAGAATGTTATTTTCCAACATTTTCTGCATTTGAACTTAAGTATATATAAATATTTCTGTTATGTACTTTATATACACATATGCAGCTGTGTATGCTGAATGACTGCTAATTCCCTGAACAGTCCAAGTTATTCTCCTCCAAGCTCCATCAGCATTAATTTTCTGTTACATCTTCAGCTTTTTTTAAATTTGATTCTATTTAAAGGATTTGCATGTTCTAGAATCTATGATTACTCAATTAAAGATATCAGCAAATAAAATCTGTTTGCAATTACCTATATTCCCAAGAAGTCCATTCATAATTGTACTGTGGTCAGGCTTTAATGTATTGCTGTCTTGATTAATGAACTCAAGACTGTCCTGCAACCTATAACAAACATAAAACATATAACAAACCAGTGATTTGCATTTCAGTAGAATGGAGAGATAGTTCATTATAGTCAAAATGGAACAGACAAGGTAAGAACACTGGCTTCTACTGGAAAAAGCTTTCATAGCCTAAGCCACATCTTCAGATGGGTCACTTAAGAACAGAAAACAAATATTTTTCTAACATATTTTTGCAATATTTTTGGGGTTTTTTTCATCTTGGACTGAACCCCCAAGGTTGCAGGTAGGTACTTTTGTACCTTACAATATCAAGCTTCACCATGTCAGCATGGAAGGAATGGTTCATTCATTCCCTCAGAGCCAGCTGAGGTGAAGACAACCATGAGGGAAAGGTGAGGACACCACTGACAGGATGTAGCAAGGAGTTCTTTTTTTAGAGAAAGAATCTGGAGGGTCCAAAGAAAGTCCTGTGTCCTTATTTGTGTTCTGCTTCTGTGCAATAGCTACAAAGCGCAGGGCACTCACGTGTTCAGGCTGCCGTAGATGCTGCTTCCCGTGCGAGCTGTGAACACCTTGCTGAGCATGAGCTGGGGAGGGGAGCTGGGGACAAGGAGGGAAGATGTCAGTCAGAAACAGTGCCAAGACAGGCTCTGCCTCCCATTTCACAGCCCTCCAGATTTTATTGACCTTAACACGACAAAACAGCCTTTTATTTCAAAAATGACATCAGACTGACTTCAAAGCAAACACAGAAATGCATTTTACTCTACACTTGTGCCATTCAATTCACTGTTTATCAGCACTAAGGAGTGAGTCTTCTGAAAACACCTGCAGCAAACAGTTAATCTTACCGGATCTGATGAATTTTCAATGTGGAGCCCTTGTAGCTCATGGCCACAGAGCCAAACATCATCTCTCCAAGCATGTTGGCATCTGAGGAGCACCGAGAACCCTGCAAAAATTCAAATCCACCAACATTTGGGTAGAAGCATTTTAGAGGCATGCTTCTACTAAGGCAACACACAAGAGAGAAAATCTTCCTTATTTAAAAGATAAATATGTAAAATATCTTGCTGGAACACTGTTGAACATGCAAATTTGAACAGTTCAATCAATCAGTCAATAAACAGTTTAATGCCAACAGAGAAAGTGATCTTCACACTGGCTGTGAGCTCAACCACTAAAATCATGCAACAAACCAAACCCACCTAGGTGAGAGGAAGCAGACCCAATGACACTGAGCCAGGGGACTGAACTTTTAAGAATGTGTTAACACTGAATTCAGCTCACTGAATTAAGCCTAAACCTTGTTCCTGCTTGACAAGAAGAATCAGCAGTTCATTGGAGATGTTAGACTTTGCAATGGAACCAAATTGGACCAATGTTTACTTGACAAAGACTGATTCATAACTTATCATGGATGATATTTTATATGGGATGAATCTCTCCCTGGTGCTTCTGTGATGGCACCAGAAAAGAGCTGCAGCATCATGATGCCAGGCTAAAGTGCAATTCCTGCTTCTCTGGGGGCAGGAGCTTGCTGTAAGGCACACAGGCTAAATACCAAGGAGCAAAGTCACTATACTGCATCACTGGCTAGGGCAAATTCTGCAAACAAAACCCTAAAATTAAAAAATTACTCAGGGCAATCAACTGGAGACAACTGCTCGGCAGACAGACTTCTCATTTGTCATTTTCAATGACTGTGATTACTGCCCCTTTGTCCAGGGCTGTTTCACCTCCAGGTCAGCAGAGTGTAAGTGCTGGGTCTCCACTTGTGCCTTGCCCTGAATAATTTAAAATGTGGTGATCACTCACTAACAGAGCTCAGCCAGCTCTCAGGTGAGGAGGTTTGGCACTGTGGAAAAGAGCAACATGTTTCAGTCCAAGTGTGTGGTAGCACGTAAATTACTCCATTCCCTGGCGTAATCCTTCTAAAAGACCCCTTAAACCCCTGCTGGAAGATGCTCAGTGCATCTCCATATTCCTCATGCAAGCTCTGAACAACCAGCACCCTGAGTAACCATGTATTCTACACAGGACTGAAATACAGAATGACAGAATGGTTTGGGTTGGAAGGGACCTGGGAGCTCATCCAGTTCCACCCCCTGCCATGGGCAGGGACACCTTCCACTAGCCCAGGCTGCTCCAAGCCCAGTCCAGCCTGCCCTTGAACATTGCCAGGGGCAGGGCAGCCACAGCTTCTCTGGGCAACCTGTGCCAGTGTCAGACAGTGAGCCTGGAGCACAACCAAGGACAGGGTGTCCCCACCACAGACCCCTACTGGGAGCAAGAACAGCCGTGAACATCCCACTCAGTGTTCCTGCTCACACCAGCCCACAGAACAAGGGCAGGAACAAGGAAATGCTCATCAGCCAAAAGGCAGCACACAACATTTCTCAATTTTTAGTTTTTTTCAATCACTCTCAGTTAAGCTGATGATACTTTTAACAGCCATACTTTTAACCTGTGAAATCTATCCCTGCAAGGAGAGAGGGGATGACTGAAAGCAGAAACTACAACTGTAAAAATGAGGGTATAACTCCAAGCTTTCTAGGTGTTCAATGACAGGGCAAAAGCTGATCATTAGCTGGGCCTCAGTGAAATTTCCATCTCTGCCTCCCAGGACATCCCACTGCTCAGGTGCACTGCAGGCAGTACTGGAAAAGCTAGAATTTAAAACCAGTCAGTATGAACCAGCAGCTCCAAGGAAATCTCAGCATAGATGTTAATGACTCCAGGAAATAACAGGTTTGCCAGCATCACAAAATCCTGTCTTAAGAATACTGCAAATTACTACAGCCTCACGCTATGATTGTTGATTTTAAATCCGTTGCAGATCTCCAAATGAAGGACACAATTCTGATTAAATGTCAAGCTCTTGATGGTGGGCTTTGATTTCAGCTTTCTGCTGTTGTGAAAATATCATTCTAAAGCTCAGTAAAAATACTTTAAGTATTGATTTTCTTTGTCAAACAGACAACTTAAAGTGAAAATCAGCTGCTTTCAAATTTAATTATAGGGGTTTCCCTTTCCTCTGAAAGACAGTCAAGCCCTGCTGAAGGCAGAGTGTGACAAGATGAGCCCATGGCCAGTTCAATCTGGCATTCCCTCTACAATTAATAACAGTAATTTTACCATGCATAACCAAAGACACATATTTCATGCATTTAGCATGGAAACACTGTTACAGCTCAACTCTTTGGGCCTCTAATGCTGCAAAATACAGGTCACTCAAGACCAAAGCAGAGTACAACCAGCTGGGGAAGGGGGTTAAATACTCAAACTCAAACAAAAAGTAGCCAAGCAGCATCTGTCAAAAAGGGCACAACCTGGAGCACTGACAGCCTGGACACAAAACAACTCCTCAGGTCACAATTTAGAGCTCCCATAAAAACTGATCATAAAATACCCACAAAGTGTTTGTGATTGCACATTAGCATATTAGAGGTGGTAACATCTGCATGATTTGGAAATTACATTTCTAAACATATTTACAGTTTTTAATACTCCCTTTACTGTATATATTGTCTTGTCAATAACTAAGTGTATCTGTAAATTAAAAAGCCAATAAGGAAATAAGTGTTAAATATGGGACATAATTACAAATATGGAAGCCTGGAACAAATCCTCTGTATTTCACCTTGCAATTAAAGTTGTTCACATATAATCAAAGTGTATTTAAACAAGAAAACATAAAGCAGTATTTTAAAAATCCCACAGTATTATATTATTTGAACTTCCATTTTATAGCCTTACAAAAAACAAACAAGAGAACTTATAAATACTGCAAATCCACTAAGTAACCTCTGAGGTTACAGACACAGCAGTTAGAACATAGGAAATGCCAGGCTGAGTGAAGTCTGGACAAACTTACTCTCACTCCTCTGCATACCCAATACTAAATTTTATTGCACATTGAAGAATTCTTGTATTTTTGTCTCCCTGCTCACGTGCTGGGGAAGCCTGGAAGGAGTCTGATGAATGCAGTAGACAGTTCACAATAAATATGCTGTGGAAGACCAACTTCAGCTGAAAGTATGTGGCACAGTCACACAGCCACTGAGATTTCAATTCAACTCAGTAACATTTTGAGTGAGTGACACACATGAGGAAATGGGAACTTCAAAAGGAAAACTTTCCACAGCTTTAAAATACACCCTCTCATGCCAAACACTAGAATTTATTTTCTTTAGTAACATTGAGCATTGTTTGCATAGAGCCTGCTCTGGAGGAGAGCCAGTTTCTGGGTAGTGGGGGGCATGGTTTTTCTTGGGCACACAGTGCACAAAGGAGGTTGCTTTGTGCTGGAAGGGAGCTGCTGACAGAAACGTCTCTTCCTTTCATAACCGCAGTTAAATGCCCTGCCAGGAAGGGAGGAACGGAAAACAGATCTTCAGCCACCTTACCCAAGCTGTGGAAAAGAGTGTGATGAGACAGAGAAAACAAGAATACACAGCTTGCCAAATATAGCAGGAGTTAACGTGACAGTAGGAAAGTCAGCACTGGAAGCTTCTTCATTTCTATCTATGGGAGATTAAGACATCAGTAGTATTGTACTCCAGAGCAGGTTGTGGAGATAGCAGCTTCCCTCAAACACACAATTACTTCATTACAAAGAGTGAAAAGGGCTTAGCTCTATTTTAGAGTGGCTTAATATAAAACACTTGTGATCTGTGGAAGGAGAGATGACAAAAATATATCCGTGTCAGATGACTCTAGCTACTCTCATGGCCAAAATCTCTTATATAAAATGGAACTCAAGTGCACCGAATCCCTTAAAAAGCTGTTACACAGACCATCCCTACAGACAATGCGTGTCTCTGTTATTTCCCTGGCATTTGACAATGAAATAGACTATTTCATCTACACCAAGATATTTGTGCCTAGTCTGATCACACCAAATGAGTGTTATCACCTGCATCACAAAAATGGAACAAATGCCCTGGAGAAATCGCTGCCATTCAAGACATCCCAAGAGAACCAGCTGGTTGGTTTTAGACTTGATAACACCCAAAGCTACAGTGTAAAACACTCCTGAGTCATATCCAGTATTTTGGTTCTGACTGAAAACTGCTCTCCACTGCCAGCCTCTCGTTTCAAGTATTTAAAACAGTTGTGCCTCACCTGCTGTTAGCATTTGACATGCGTTACAGAGGAAAAAAAAAAACAGACTCACCTGGTATTTTGGGCATTGCTCTTTTGGATCAGAGAATGAGGAGGATGAATTGATTGAACTATCCAAGGAAGAAGAGCTGTCTCCTCCAGGCTTTAGTTGGCAGCATTTCCCAAAAACTCTCACTTGAGCATCACTGCAGAGTTTCTGAAATAAAGACCACACATGTGACACATGTGACTAAGACCCATGAGCTGAAATCACTGTTAGTGTCATTGTCTTTACCTGTTTAAGTAAGATATTTAACAGCTGAAAGGCTCATGCCCCAGGAAACAGGTAATAGAACATATAATCATATCTCTTGCAGCCTGGCTGTCCAAAGGAAAGCTGAGCACTTTTATTTCCAGTTAGCCAGAAGCCAACAGGTCACTACAACTCCATCTTCCTAAGCAGACTTTTCTAGACCCAGGAGAGAGAGGGTGGCACCAAAACACTTAAAGGAAAGATGGCAATGTCCACCTTACTCCCTGCGCCTGCCAGAGTGGAGATGCCACAGGAGTGTAAGCAGCACACAGGAAGGAGCAGCTCACCATTAATTATCAAGCAAGAATAACACAGAATTCAGAAGATTCATGTTACAAGGGCAAGTGGAGAGTAAAGATCCTGTTTTTCACAGATCTCTCCCTAGCTGTGTCTAAGCCCCCTAGTCTTTCTCAAGAGTGGCACAGAGGTGACACATTCCTTATGTTTTTTGTATGAGGGAATTGTGAGGCTGAAAATGGACAACGCTGAAAAAAACAGTGCTACAGAGAAGGCAGAAAAGATTTGCAAAATTATAGAGAATCAATTGAAAAGGTAAATTCTGATAGAGATTCAAACAGAAAGCAGAGCAGTGCAGAGAGTTTAGAGGGCCTAGATGGAGCTGGAACTGATGTACAGGATGGGCAGGATCTGAGTCCACTCTACACAGAGAATTATTAATCACTGGCATGGGAGATGCTTCACTATGTTTCATTCACTATTTAAAAGCATTTGTGATTTCCATTGAGAATCCCAGCATCCCGAGCAGAATCAGCACCCACCAAGTTAATGCAGTTTACACAGCACTGGCATTGCCAACCCTCTTCACCTAAAGATCTCAATGTATTTTTCACACACTCGTTACACTTCAGCACACCCCCGTAAGGTTGGCATTATTTACATCTGCTGGTAGGCAGCACTAGGAGACATAAATAGTCTACACTGCTCAAAATTCCACACTAACTCTGCCCTAAGACTTCCTTAATTACCATTTCCTACACAATCACCAAACCAGTAAGAGCAAGCTGGAAGCAAACCCTGCTGAAAGCAAGGTTTAAGGGACAGATGGGAACACAGAAGTGCTGTTATATGTCACAGCTTCATCTCTGAACTCACAGCTCCCTGCCACAAGCTTTCCCTTCATCCAAAAACATGACCATGTCTCAACTTCTAAGAAAAAGGCATAAAGAAAAGTGTGAAATAGCCAAGGCACACATTAGTAACTCCAGGACTGCTCAATAATCAGCAATAGCTGTTTGAAAAGATGACTGGCATTACTGCTGTGGTGGGATGGGAGTCCCATGCCTCTGTCCTAAAGTGTCCAGGTTACTTTTTTAGGGACAGGTGACTTAAATTTGGCCCTAACTGTGGGTGAGGTTCAGCAAAGCAGCTGAAAACGGCCAGGATTATAAAGCCCCACGTGGCAGCCTCCACCGCTGCTCCCTCAGAGAGCTGCTGCCACAGAAAGCCTCAAGGAAAAATGTGCAGAGGAATTAGTAACTCAGTGACAGAGGGGAGGGAAGCGTTCACTTTCCCCAGCCCTGTCAGCTTTCCTGACACACAGCAGTGTCCTCTCCTTTCCACACAGTGGAGAGCTCGTTGAAATTCTGCAATATGTAGATTTGCTAATGGCTGCTGAGGATCTGTGGCTTGAGCACAGTGCACAATGGCTGGAACATGTGAACGATCATCATATGACTTCAGTAGGAGCTTGTGAACTAGAATTGCATTTTATCTCTGACACAAACAACAATGTCCTAGGCTAGGCAAGCATCATGTGATAAAACCACATACAATCCACAGGGTTACAGCAGCTTTTGCAGGCAAACCACATTTCAGCTTGCATTTTCCATCAGATGTTGAAAGTTCCTTCTAAAATGTTACAATTATAACTAAACTTCCTTGAGACTGTAGAAATGCACTTACTGACTTTTCAAGAGAAAATAAACTCCTGTGCATTAAAAAGAATAGGCTGAGTTTGCAAATCAATTACTTTTACATAATTTCTTCTCATTATCACTGCATTTTTCTGCACAGCAGCTTTTTCCCAGATCCACTGGGTGGTCGGGTAACTTGCAGTAATAGTTGCCTAATTTAAATAGCAAACCAGGAAAATGGCTGTTTGGTCTTTGCAGTGGAGTTTAATGAACCAAAACTCCTGCAAGGAGTCTTTAAATGAGGTCAGAATCTTTCAGCTCCCACTTTTCAGAACCTTGTGAACAGTAAATCCCTCCTAAAATGCAAATCACTGATGAATTTTGGTGTTTGCTCTTTCACAGATTTAGCATGTGTTTAAGATGAACTCCTTGGACAATGAGATCAAGTACTTGCAGTGACTCTCTCCTCTGCAATTTCTGACTTCAAATGTCAATGAAATTTTAGATGCTACAAATCTCAAGACATTATCCATCAAAGGAGTGGGATTACTTGCATTCCCACATAATATTCCAAAGATATTCAAGCCAGGCTTCCAAAAATAAAAAAGTAACCTCATTATTTAAGAACTGTACAAGGCAATGTTTTAAAGCTGTGAATTTTCTTCCCAATTAGACACCATTGCATCAAATCCACTCCCTGGGCAGGGTGGTGCTGAGCGCTCTGAAATGCCCATTTTTGCTGGAGAGCAGAACATCTGCTGGAAGGATGCCGTGGGCAGCTCTGCTCCTGGCTGCCACCCTGCTCTCCCTGCTGGGGTCACACTCTGTTCCCTCCCTGCCAGCTCACTGCAGATACCACCCAGCTCCAAAGACTTCTGGCAGTCCCAGTTCTGACATTAGAGGTCATCGCTTGCTGAAAGTCTTGGAGACCTATCAGGTAGTTCTGAAGAAAACTTAAAGTAAAATGTCTTTATAGGGTACAAGGTACAAAGTAATTTTCTTCCTCAGTTCCTCTTCTGGAGTCTCTTTTCTCCACATCTGTCAGCAAAGACTTTTATCTCTTTGACACAAACTCTATTCTTCTCAGCAAGTGGGAAAAACATGCCCAGTGCTGTGAATAGGAAGAGGAATTTCTGCTGGGCAGGTTTTGCTTTGGGGATAACAAGAAAGTTGAAAGGAGTCTGGTGTGTTGAACTAAATCAGAGTCTGTGTAGGTGTGTTAGGGCTGTGAGTGACTGACAGAAGGGAAAAGAAATGTCATCATATGCTTTACTCTTTTTTACCTCTCTGCAACAGCAGGCGCTCAAATACCACTGCGATGGCAGTGATAGAGAAATCTCCATTTCCAAGCAAAGTTGCTACTCTTCAAGAGCTCTGTTCCTCACTTTCAAAACAGGCTTTCCAGAATAAAAAATATTTCAAAACAGGCAAATAACTCTTTTGCTGTATTAGTATGAGTTGGTCTGTATGTGCAATGAAATGTATGTATCCACCTAACACATGGGAGTAACCTGAATAGGCACTCATTTCTCCCTTTCAAGTGCTCGTGTAAAAATCCAGATATATTTCTTAAACTGCAGCTGCCAAGTGCTGCAATTTTCCTTTATTTCTAGAGCTGTCGAGTTCCTCTGTTACTCAGAGGTGAGTGAAAGAAGTCAAGACAACCCCATGCTCCCTTACTCCACTAGTATTTTTCCATGTCTGTTTAGAGAGAATAAGCTGAGCTAAGAAGGTGGGACTTGATCTCTGTGCTTACAGCTTTATCCATCTGCTCTGCTCCGCTCACTGGAAACCTGTCCTGAGAGCCAGACAGAGTCCAGAGTCTCCATTTCACACAACTCACCTAAAAGCAAAAGGCTCACTATCCAATTACTAATCCCTCAAAGCAATTTGCTGTTCAACATTTATCCAGTGCTGAAGTCTATCAGAACATGTGGCTAATCCCGGCTTGGTTCAAGCAGCATGCCATTTCTCTACTTTGGGATAAATATGACATTCAGAGTAAAAGAAATTGCTGCTGAAGGAGATCAAGTATCATATGACCTTTCAGTGAAATTATTCAAAGATAAAGACAACTAGTGGAAGAGGTGAACTTTCCGTTCTCCAAACTGAGCTTCACTAATGCACCTCTACATCTCAAATTCTGTACCCCAGGTCTCTCATTTCTTCAGAAAACCAAAACAAATGCTATTTCTGAAAACATTCTTCTGCCTCTGGGTCTTGGCAACAAGTCACTGCCCTTGTCTGACTCTTTGTCTTTCCCGCTTTCCTACCACATGCCCAAACTCTAGATCTCTGCTCAGCACAGTGCAGTTTGGTCCTTCCTTTTTTTCCTCCCTTCTTTTTCTCATGGTCTCTTGACACCCCCCGCCCCACCTTCCTCCCTGTACTGCAAACCTTCCTGTAGGCTGATCTGCAAACTCAGGAAATCTTTTAGCTCTCACATGTCCCATCAGCACCTCTGTCCAGCCAGATCCCCAGAGTTAACCACCATCTTATCATAAATCCCCACCGGACAAAACAGAAAGGAAAATGAGCATTAAAATGAGAGAGTTAATCCTTGTTTCACTTTGCTTGCTCCAAGGGAAGCCATGGTCCAAGGTTCCCCTTTTCAGCTTCTTCTTTACTTCACTCCCTACTCCTCCCTCGTGGCACCATTCCTGTGGCATTCTTATCCCAATCCATTACCAGCCCTTGGAGGCAAACTCCTCATACTTCAGCTGGCCTTTGCACACTGGCAGTTATGGGGACATAATTCCTGCACCACACAGTAAAACACAAGCCAGCCTTAGCATGAGCTGAGTATGGATGCAGTGTCAAGGTTGGGAAGCCAACCAAGCACAGGGAAAGGCAGAGCTGAGGCTGACAGCCTGGCACTGGCTGGGCCACCTGGCTGCTGCACCTTAAGCAAGAGAAGGAGCTGCTTGTTGTGCTGATTTGAAATTCAAAGGAGGCCTGGTGTCACAGAGTTTTTTGTTCACACACAGCTCCTGGCTTGGGAACTCCCTATAGCCCAGGGCACAGGGAGGAGAGCGGGGCTGATGGCACCTGGGAGCAGAGAGCAGGAGAGGAGGTGTCAGAGCAAAAGGAGCAGAGGAGCACAGAACAGAGTCTAACAGCAGAAAGCAGTCATAGGTTGTAACATTATCACCTGCACATCAAGTAACACAGTCTCATTAGAAATGAGATACTCACTGCTAAGAGGAATGAAAAAAATAACTCTCTAGAGGAAACAGTGGTGCAAACCCACAAGCTTGCCCATAGAAGTTCTTTGATGCCCAAAAATCCAAGGGATGTGGATGCTTGGGTGGGGACAGAGGCTGTTCAGTAAAGCCATCTGTAATGCCTCTTCTCATACCACACGCTGCCCTGGTGCATTCAGTGTGCAAATGGCTGTTCTGATGCATTTGCTCATGACCTAGTGCCACAGGGCTGGAAGGGGCAGCAGCCACTCTCTTTCTGGGATACCCTGGCAGAACTCACACACACAATTTTCTGGAGCTCGAGAGACAGCAGCCTTTCCCCTCTGCTTCCAGAGCCCAGCTGATCAATAGCCCATCCCCTGGAAAGCTGGGGAAGGACCTTTCCTGCTTAGCACCAAAAAAGGTATAGGACTCACAAAGGGGATCTCTCTGCCTCCCACATGCAAAGTGCCCACAGCTGCCTGAGGCAGATCTGCGCCTGGCACAGCCTTGGGCCAACATTCCCGGTGTGGGGAATAGCAGCCAGCCCTCCTCGTCACCAGGCTGCTGCTCAGCTTCCCCAGCCACGTTTAACTCTAGCAAGGCTGGGGAAATCTCTTCTCTGGAGCGATTAGAATATTGTAGTGGCCACGCTGCAAACTCTTGACTGCCTTCAGTGTCCTGCTGTGCAAAACCCTCCCCAAATTCTTCTCTACTTAATATTTACCTTTACTGAAGACATGAAGAGGCTGAATGAATATCCAATGAAAACAAAAGGTCCTTATTTGTGTTATAGCCACATTTCCCTCACGGGTAAGATGAACCTAGTAATGCTTTACAAATGAGAGACCAGCTTGGTGTGAACACAAACTCAGCAGTTTTCACTGATCAAAAATCCAGAGCTTACTGTTTTATTTCTTGAAACATCTGTGTCTGCAAAGATTTTCTCTGATGCTCCTTAAATTTTATGACCACACTCTCCCTTACAGAATTCAAATGACTGAGCCATGTTCAACCTTGGCCCACCACACACAGCTTTAAATATATGTAGGGATTATACATATAAAACAGACTAAAATACATCTCACCTTGCAGGCATACAACTCTTAAATTATAATTGCTTTCATCTCTGATAAACAACAGAAAGTGGGAACTGAAGAGCACAGCACCATAAAGCAAAGTGAAATCCTCTTGATTCTCTGTGTTAGACTGCTTTGACTTGAACCAGAACACTCTAGCCACTGCCAGGCACTCTTCCAAATGTCTTCCCAGTGTTCTTTGTAGATCCAGTGGTCTAAATCACATTAGGAAATGGGGGATGAGGGGGAAGAGATGCAGAAAGCCTTGCACAAAAAGTGGGGTGCTGAACAGATACCCTTTCAGAACAGAGAGTGCCCAGCCCACACACGGCTGGCTGCAAAAGGGCAAGAGTGCCTTGGAATGTGCTTAGAGCCAAGATCTGGCTTTGTATAGGCAGGGTGTGTCTTTGCTAATGAAAATCATGATAAAGAGTGAAAGAAAGGAACAATGCAATTCCTTGAAAACGGCCAGTACATCCTGCTCACTGCACAAACCCACACTGAGCTCACATCAAGCCCAGCCTCTCTTGCATGTTTTTACCTGCAAACTTTTGTTTTATGAGAAAAGTTTTGCCTGACATGACATTATCTGAATGCTGAAAGCAGGTACATGGCAAGCAAATATATCAATATGTCGTCCTTTAAAGAACCCTAATACCATGAAAAACAAATGTATCAAGTTCCTAGAGATGACTTCTGGGTATTTGAAATGCCCTGGAAAGAGTTTTTCTCCACTAGTCTCATGTGGAGATGGGGACTACAGCTGTTTCCCATCCTCTTAGCAAAGAAAAAGGGAAGATTAATATGGAACCATATCAGCTCCATTATCAGCCATTTTTCCTGTTGCTGTTGAGATGCCACAGTCAATGAGCTTTCTGAAGTAACCCTAAACAGTGAAGTTTGCAAGTTCAGTGGGCAAGTACACATCTATCTTAAAGAGGTTTTAGACTTTCAAGAAATTAATTTAAATCTGGCAAGAGGATTTATACTGCATGTTATTTTTATTAATGAAGTAATAGCAATAAGCACAGCCAGCATACCAATAAACCACTTCTAAAGACCTCCTGTCTTTAAAAACCTGTTTTCCTGGCAAGAACATCAGGAAGAACAGGAAGTAATAGAACCATTCTTACAAGTTTAAATAAAAAAGAAAGATGCAGTTTTTTAACATCTTATGAAACTTGCTTTATTTCACAAATTCTCGATAAAAACTAGGAAATTGGGATCTTGATTCATGGCTATAAAAGCACTGGAGTAAGCAATGGAGAAGCCTGGAAGTTTGTGCCTGGTAAGACACAGATCCAGAGGTTTGGATACTGGACACAGCACTTGAGACCAGGCTTAAGAGCATCAGGCTGGCAACAGGCTGAAAGGATTTGGAAAGCTGGATGAAAAATCTTCCTGCTGTACTCCAATACCCAACAGGAAAGCCAGGGCTTGGGGGTAACATGTTATTTTGTGTACCCCTGCTTACAGAAGGACCTCCGTAAGTCCTATAGGTAAAAGCAGCTGGAATCATTAATTTCAATTCACACCGTGCTTTCTGCTTGCAGAACTTAAAATGATTTGTGAATGTTTTTAGAAATGTGAAAAGGAAGTTCAAAGCAGCAAAATAAGTTGTCCAGCCTCATACCACCACTTTCAGTAGCACTGTGGCCAGAAATTAATCTTCTGTCCAGAGCCCTTAGAAGGAAGTATCCCCATCTGACCGCATCCATTTCGGTTTCAATTAATAGATTACCATGCAAATCATGCCAAAAGGAAAAACAGAGTTTTCAAGTAACTTTGTGTGAAAAAACTGTCAGCAAAGCATACAAACAACAACTGACAAAGTTAAGCAACAAGGACACAAGAGAACACAGGGCTGGGGGCTCCTTCTGACTAAGAATGCAGACCCCACCACGGCACAAAACTAGATCAATAAATCCCAGTTCAGACCCTATTTCAACCCCCAGCATTGCTTGCTGCAGCCCCAGGAAGAAATCCTTCTCACTGAAAGAGCAGAAAGTAGATAAATCCCAGAATAACGAGATCACTATAGTATTTAAAGCTGGTAAAAGTGAAACCACTGAAGCCTGAATAATTTGCAACTTAACAGGCATTTAAATATAGCCCTGCCCATATAACCAATGTTTAAATGTCAATGTGAATAAAACAGAATGCATGCAATTTATCCATTTGGTCCTTTGAAGAAATACAACTATAAACATGTAAATTAGCAAAATACTCACCGACACTGAAACATCCTCTATTTTTCTTTTAGCACTGGAATCAAATAAGACATTCCTGCCCCTTCTTTCGCAGTCCTGATAGACGATCAGTCGGATCTGACTTGGGTCAAACTCCGGCAAAGGCCAGCTTTAATTGAAAAAGAAAAGAGCAGAAGGATCAATTACCACAACTCTTTATTGCACTGCTCTTTTTACATTATCTGTATATACAACTTGATTAAAACAGAGTCCAGCAAATTCAATGCCATTTCATCAAACCCTTTGATCCTGTAGCCAGAACTCTGGCCTTTGTTTTCTTTTCTTTCCCCTACATGTGCCCAAATTACACTGTCATAAAGTGCACCAATCCTCTACAACAGCACAAAATTATGCCTGCAGCATTAATAGATCTTGTGCTCTGTCTTGTGATGTTTTCTTCAAGTTCCAGCTATCTAGAATCAATGCCATAGAACTTAGCTTTTGTGTTTAAAGACACAAAAAACCCCAAGATGAACAATCACAGGGTGGTTTGAGAGAACCACCTGGTTCTCTCCACATAAGCCACTGTGACTCAAGGGCATGGTCAGCAAACCATACAAAGCAGTCCTAACACACCTACTCCCAAACTGGTTTCCAAGGGAAGGCGCTTTCCTGAAGCCTCAGAACCTTCCCTATATGCCACTACTCCAGAGGATATCTCACACGGAGAACTTGCAGGGACTAGGCTTGGAAACCATTCCATAATCTTCTCTTCTTTAAGGGTGCTTTGTAGTCACTAGCTTAAATTTTCATTTTAAAAAGCCAGCCACCACTTTAAAGCCCAGCAAGCATTGTCATCCATTGGCTTGGGAATCCATTTTCACTGACACCATCTCAATTCTTGGAAGATAGGAAACAAGATACCTGCTGTATCCATGAAACCACCAGGGATCATCTTTCAGCTACTTTACAAGCCATTTCCTAGATCAAGTGAAATTCTGTCTTCCTTATTCTTGGCTTTTAGGCAAGCAGTGCTGGCATGAACTTGAAGAAGCCAGAAACAAGGCACTGGAACTTTCCAGCCATTAATGAAGGATACAGATTCCCAATTTGCATGAGCTGTACATGTATTTCAGCAAAAAGGTACCCATAACATGGGTTAAACGTGGCATGTTAGACTCCAAGACTACAGTAAAATTTCCTCTCCTCTAACTCAGCACCCAAAGGGTTTCCTGCTCTGCACCCACACTTTATGTGATCAACAAGTTCTGTAACAGCAGAAAATCCATTTGACCACCAAAGCCATCATCACCTATCAGAAGCTTTTAAGGTTGCTCAGTATAGGTACACAAGTTTTACAGCTAGTGTAGCACCAAATGAGGTGAAACTAAGCACCAAGACATACAGTTACCCACTCTCCTGAGATGTAATCTATTTCCTAATCTGCCCATCCCCACCATTTAGCAACAAGAGAGAAAAACAGAAGCTGCAGAGAAGATGGTGTGCAACAGATGTCCAAATCAGCTTATTACAAGAAAGAAAACCTTGAGCAACTTGAGCTGAAACAACTTCATGTCTAGATTTGGGGGCAAGGAGCCATGCACCATCTCATGTGGGCACCTAAAGCCAAGTGTCATCCGCAGCATGAAATGCCCACACGAAGTGCAGACACCAAACGGAGCAAATTCTTCACCAAAACCCAAGCACAGTGACAAACTTAGAGCCAAGCTCACACTTACTGGAGGCTCTCCTAATTAACCCCATCTTGCATTTCAGAAAATGTAAGAAAACAAAGCCCCTAGTATGACACATGCCTGGAGTGTTACTAACTGAGAGGCACAAAAGGCACTAGAGCTGGGGATGGTAATTGCTAAGAGCATGACTTTGGCTAGAAGTGAGGAGGACCACTGGATAAACTGGTTTCCTGGAAGAACGGCCTCCATATATTAAAGTGAAATCAGTTGAAGTCCAGAAACAAACATTTTTTTGGTGGAACTGTGGTTTCTGTAAAGAAACTGTGTGACAATAACAATGACTTGCTTGCCAAAAGGGTGCTATTGCTTGCTCCACCCTTGCAACGCGTTTGAATTTCCTTCAGACTCAGACAAAAGCATGTCTTCCATTACCTAGTACTTTTGATATTTGACTTTGAAATTACTGGCAAAGAAGGCAGTAGTTGTTCCAGATCTTAGGAAAGTCTACTTATAAAAAGCTCCAAGAGCAGATTACACACTAAGAGGAGAGAAAGCTAAATATAAAACTCTTGCTGTATTCAGAAACATATTTGATGAAAGTAACAAGAGCTTGTTTACTTCTCAGCTTCTTCACATGACATTTTAACTTTCTCTAGACAAGCATTTAGTAGCTATTATCCATCATAATTTGTGATAATTCCAAAGAAGCGCTATCTCTGTTACATAATAGCATCCTTAAGCACATTTCAGCCTTGCAAAAACATTCCCTGGCAATAGCGGGCCACTTCCCAAACCAGAAGAGCCTTTCAGAGAGCTGGGGGAAAGTTCATTCAGACAGACAGTAAACAGAAGGCAGCCTGGCACCTCCAACTCACCCCCACCAGCGAGGGGGAAGCAGGACACAGAGCTTTGCTTTTGTTGTTAGCAGATTTAAAATACCGTTAAGCTTGATATCTGAATAGATTATCCCCAGAAACATAAAATTCCTGCATGCAAGAGGCATTCTCAAAACAAACATAACAGGGCAGCACTCCAGCGCTCCTCTTCAGACAGATGAAAACTGACCTAGATCTTCTGAATATAATTAGTTCTGTTTATAAATGGAAACTAACTTTGACATTTAACTGATGTTTTCTTGAGATTCCTACAGGAAAACCAGGAGACGTAGAATCAAATGTTCTAGCAATGATAATGAAAGGTGAGATTCCATTTTCCACACTGCTCTGGAAATGACAGTTTCTTAATGAGGACTTTTTCCCCCATGACCTATCGCCACTCTTTGATCTTTCCTTGAAACTGATTAGATCTAAAGAAAAACCCAGGACAAAAAACCCGTAAGAACCACCACCAAGAAAACCCCAAATACCTTTCACCAGCAGAAGTATTTGTGACTTTGCCACAAAGTGCTGTGAGCTCGGGCATGGAGCAAGAGAAAAATTGGTGACAAATTCCTTCTGAGCAGGACACTGCTCCTGTGGAGATCTCCACTACACAAGTTGGGATTCCTCTAGAATGAGATGTTCAAAAATACCTATATGGAGTGGAAATCTGTTGATGTATAAATGCTGCATGGGATGTTTTAGAAACAAAACCCAGCTCTCACACTATGACAGACTGTTGAGGTTGGAAGGGTCTTCTGGAGGGCATCTGATCCAATGCCCCTGCACAGACACTCATGCAAGTACAGAGTGCAAAAGAAAAGGAATTATTTGGGAGAGAAAGGGAAAACTCCACATCATTAATGATGGAATTATTAGAAACTAGCAATAATGAGACCAAGATCTGAAAAGTGGTATTTTAATGCATATTCACACTTACTGTTGTTCAGCTCTTCCCTTTTTTCATCCTTTCTGCTTTTCTGCCTTTTTTACCTTCCATCACAAGGAATATCACCTGTAGCTTACATTTACAAATCCTTTTCATGCTTCCTGACACCTCTACTATAGAGATTCATAGCAATCCAGAATTCCAACTGCTCTCTAAGGATGAATTTTCTTGTGTTCCTGGAGTTTATTACCACCATCAGGGTTTCTCAGCAAGAACTGAATGGCTGTAAATTGGTATTATTTCACTGTGCAAGTTTTAATAGATGACACAACAGACACAGAAATCCTTTGTTACCACTCCAACAACTAAAACACAGGATTTTCCCCTGTAATTGAAGCCCAGTACATTCCTTCCTCCTCATTCCCACCTAGAAAATGAACACCACTTCTTCATTTCATTAAAAGTTTCGCTTAGTATTATCTTCCCCCCTGGCTGAGACTACTTTTAAAACTGTTTATATTAACATGGCTTAGATAGTATCTGGTTACTTTTTAATAAAAACAGATACTTTAGAAATCTTAAAGTAAAGCAACTGAAGCAAAATGATCAAGACATTAAGCAGGTAGGAACTGGAAAAGAGTTTTCTAAAAAATAAGGTTGCTCAAAACCAGAATAGGACTAAAAAGTAAGTTGAAATTATCAGTCAAACTATTGTTTTCCTACATCATGTTACCCATAGTTATAAAAATTGCCTGGTGATGAATCACTTGGAACTATTTTTAAATGCATCTACGCAAATGATATTTATAGTTTATGCCAGCTTATCTGTTCTGCATGGTTTACATGTTAGCACCTTTTTAAAGGGTGACAGAACAGCCTGGCAGAGCAGACGGGCCCACCTTGTCCCATGTTCCCCTCGCAGGCTCTGGCAGAAGGAAACCTCTTCCTTCACTCCTGCTAGGTGAGCATCAGAACAGAGGCACAGGGTTCCAGAGCTTATCTCCAGCACCTGCAGATGATTCTCCAGATATAATCCTTGTTGCAGTGGTGCTTAGACCCAGCCAACTTCTACTACACAAGCCTCTGACAGAGGCTGCGTCTGTCACGAAGAGCTAACATGGTAAATACGAGACTGTTCCACTGAGTGCACTGGGATTTCAGATACAGCCACATCAAAGCACACTCACCTGTACCTGTACAGCCCAATATACAGGATCCTGCAGTTACTTTGCTACAAAGAGCAATCAAATCCAGAAGGAAAATGGTCCTTGCCTAGTTCAACCATCCTATCATACTCCTCTCAGCCCCGAGATGCCTTTTCCCTTCTCCTGCCCAGACCGAATACCCTTCTCCAGCCCAAACACCTCTGCAGATTCCTATTACCTGTGATTAGATTTTTTTCTTTTGGCTTTGAGAAGATACAACAGAAGTTGAGTATATAGGATTAATAGGGAGGGTCTTCTACGTACTTTAATAGCTTCTTACTGCATTTCAGTAATTCACTTACTATTTGACAAAACAGCTGCACAGACCATTCTCAAAGATCACAACTAATTTGGAAACAATGAAAACAGAACTGTAATGTGTATTAATGATCCTTGCAGCTTTGGAAGACCATCCCCTCTCAGAGGCATGGGCAGGTTATTTATTTCTTTAACAACAGCACCCGAAACACAGAAGGACTTTCTCAGGATTCACAAGACAAGGA